GGAAAGGATGGGAGAGCACAGGGAAGGGGATAGACACATCACAGTTTGGGTGTTAGGATGGGCAATACACAAGAACGGGGAGGTGGGTAGAAGAACAAGGTAGATAGGAGAACACTTAGGCAGGTTTGCATGGGCTAAATGGGACAGAGGTAAATAGGGATGTATGCTTTGTGATACAGGGATTGAGGCATAGTCAGAATGGGTAAAAAAGGGGAAATAATGTTAAGATGCTTAGCTGTCTTATGAATATTTGTTTCCCTTGCTCATTATTGTAAAATAGATACTTGAGGAAATAGAAATGAATATCCAGAAACATGATTATAGGAAGATTGTAAGCCCGCCTTCAGCCTATAACTGATTAGAATACCTAAAAGGGGTGCTAGAACTTGCCCAGTGAAAGTGGCTTCTTGCAGTCTTTGTAGTGTATAAGACCTTAAGTCGAATCCTGATACCCATCCAGAACTTGCTGAGATGAGAAATTCCCACTTGAAAAGACAAGCAGAGCAACTTGGAGCAGCTTAGGAACAGAAGATACTTATTGAAAGAAAGATCATCAGGGAAACCAAAACAAAAATGGCAGTCTGATTGGCTACAACAAGAACAAGGAAGTTATTCTCCAGGGAGCCCTGAGGCAAGCAACCAAGTCCCTTAAAGACAAACCCCTCTCCCAAGACTGACACTCAAAGGGAATACACAAGCAGGCATGTAAGTTTGTTGCTGACCACATTAGTCTACTGGTGAGTGGAAGTTGGGGAAAGCAGCAATGAAGAGGTGGGCTGAGTCCAAACAAGTTACATAGACTCCCGTCGACTTGGAGTATGATGAGAGCTTGTTGGCCTGAAGTATGGTGAGACCTGGGAACACCTGAGTGCATGGACAAGGACATGGCCATGGAGGGCTAGAGCTGAGAATGAAGTATCCAGCTGATATGAAGTCAGGGGATATGCGCAAGGGTGCCCACACTTGCAGATAGTTCCCATTGGACCTAGCTTAAATGGCTGTATGTTCAGACTTGACTAGAGGAAGTCTTTTTGTTTTTGTTTTGTTGGTTTTTTTTTTTTTAAAGAAAACAAGTGTAAATCACTACAATCTGATTAACTTGACCTATATTTAAATGGGCCTATATTTATGATGGAATACAAATTGAAATCTTTCAAGAATGTGAGGTGGCACAGGAGGCACTCACTCATCTATGCCAAGAAATCTGGAAGACAACTATCTGGCAGACTGATTGGAAGAGATCTATATTTGTG